ACAGTGAAATTTGTGCAAATTGGGAGTACAAATGCCGTAAGAGACTATCTGATTCCTTCTGCTCCGCTTGAAAGATTAACAAGAAGTCTTCATGGGTTCTGCCGCATTTATGGAAGGATCTGTAGAGGTATTGGACCACCGAGAAATTCAAGAAGAAGAGTGAACTGGGAAAGAAGGCTCGAGCATCTGAGAAGGGTGGCTCCTTGCACTGTGTGGGTGCAAGGAGCATGGCGCTACGAGGAGACTACTGGTAATTCCTTAACATATTTACATCTATTTTTATCGAACTATATTTATATATGTTAATTTAGTTAACATGTTTTATTATATTTGTAGGAAAAAAATATGGGAGCAAGATGACTCATGATCAGTTCTTCATGGAAACTTACATCCGGAAGAAGAAGGCACTAATAGATCCAAGTAGATGGATCGAGGACCGGGCGGACACTGCATATCTAAGTTTCATAACTACTATAAATGTTTATAATATTATATAGTTAATAATTTTCTATCTCCGAAATAAAGGGTCGCTAAAAGATTAATGTGGAGGAGTACATTCAGAGCTTGCCACCGAATGAGCAAGGCGAGCGACCACACCTTTCAGACGAAGAAGCGCTGATGATATGGTTAGATGTTGTCGATGGTCCTAAAAAGGGGATAGCATACGGCCTTCCAGAGAAATCATTTCGGCGCTACATGGCTGGATTGCAAGGTATAGGGACTTCCGCCCAAGGTGAGGCAATTGATAGGTCGACTATCTCGTCTATGGAAGAGAGGATCGCAAAGCTGACAGCAGAGCTTGAAGAGACAAAGGCTAGAGAACAAAAGAGAGATGAACAATTTGGTACCCTTCAAGTTCAGCTAGAAAGGAGGGACGAACAATTTAATCTCCTTCAAGGTCAGCTGGGCAATATTTTTGCTAGTGGTGCTTTCCCCATTCCCCGATCGCGTGAGCCTTCCCCATGTGCTAATCCTTCTCGTCGTGATCCTTCGAACCATGCCGACGATGAATGTTCTAGAAGTGAAGATGGAGATGATGCTATATAAAACACTCATTGAATGGTGTGTATTGCTAAACAAAGTATTGAACTTACCTATTTTTTAGTTGAGACTAGTTTTGAATGATGATTGTATTGTTGATATTATTTTGTAATTGAACATTTGTATAGTTGTTGTTGTGGTTGGCGTTGTTGTTGTGGTTGTTATTAGTTGTTATTGTTGTTAGATAATGGTTGTTACTGTTAGTTAATTATTTTTATTAGTTAATTATTGTTATTGTTAGTTGATTGTTGTTTATTAATTATAGTTGAATGGCAGCAGTGTAATGCTGCCATTATAGGATGGATATTGGTTGTAATTGGCAGGTGGTGTAGCTTAAAAGCAGGCATTTTTCTGCCCAGTTTTTACCCAGATTTTCGACCGAAATCGGTCGGAAATTAATTTTTTTTGCCTAGAAATTCATAATTTCCGACGGAATTCGGTCGAAAATTATGAATTTATATTTATTTTTTTAAATAATTTAATAATTTATTACAATTTGCAACTAATTATTTATTTAAATAAATTTATTATTTTTTTAAAATTTCGACCGATTTTGGTCGGTATTTGAAAATTTTAAAAAAAAATTTAATGGTTGCCGACCGAATTTGATTGGAAATTGAAGGTTGACAGTCAGTCAACGCTTTGAAATTTTCGACCGATTTCGGTCGGTACACGTTAGCGACAATCATTTTCCCGATCAATTAAAACGGTCGGAAATCGGTCGGTTTTTATCAATTTTCGATAGGTTTCGGTCGGTTTTGGTGGACGAAATTACACAGTTTTTAGTAGTGTTTGTAAGTAATCCTTGTTTAGAGCTGATAATATACAAAATTAGGACAACATTGGCAAATAAGTTTCAAATATTGTATAGGAAGGAAAAAATCTCAATTAAAATTATTAAAATTTAAAATGAGTTTAAGGAAAATTTACTCATTAAATTTATAGAATTTGACTTTTCATAAACCAAACAAAGCTAAAACATTTACGAACATTGATAGGTATGTGCTAACCAAAAAACTAAAATTTAAGTAGGCGTTTGGACATAAGAATTGAAAAATTACCAAAAAAATGGTGAAAACTTTTTTCAAATGAAAATGGTATTTGAAATTTAGAGTTGTGTTTGGACATAAATTTCAGTTTGGGTTATTTTTGAAGTTTTGTGAGTGATTTGAGTGAAAATTTTGAAAAACAGCTTTTTGGAGTTTTTCAAATTTTCTAAAATTTTCAAAATGTATCTTCAAATGAAAATTAAAAATTTCATGAACAAACGCTGATTTCAATGAAACGTGATTTTTTTTGGAAAAAAGGAAAAAAAAGCTTATGTCCAACGGGATCTAAATGTCTATCTTGAGTAGAGGCGGAGTAATTAATTTTACATGTATTTAAAATGAGATTATTTAATTAATGTAAGTTACTTAAAAGATACTACAGCTTACACTAATTACATAGGGTTATATATGTTACGTTGTCTTTGGTTGGACAACTCTACTGCACATTTTTCTTTTTGGTGAATTTTGTTAATCTTTTTACCGTAGAGCATTTTAGTAATTTTTAATATGTACTTAGGCCCTTAGCGAAATGTCGTTCGTCTCTTTTACCCTTTAAAATATAGAGTTCACATTTTAAACAAAATAGTAATTTGAGTTTTTTTATTAATGTTTAGAAATAATTATTTAATTAATTATCCTCTAATTTAGGAAAGCTATTTAATTTTTCTCCTATTATTAACAGTCTAGGAAAGTTAATAAAAATTTGCCTAAATTTTTTCCAATTCATTCTACTCCCTACGTTGGAGTAGTTAATACCTTTAAGGTTTTGAAGACCTTTTTTGTAGTTAAAAAAATTCTGCCTAGCCTATGTTTTCGCCCCTACGTTCAACTCCCTTTGATGGAGTATTTAATGTGTTTATTTTGTAGTTAATACCTTTTAGGTTTAGGAGATCTTTTTTATTAAATTTTTTTTGCTTTAAATCTCACACACATTTTTTTTTTGGTTAGGATTCTTCATTATTTGGTACTCCCTCCGGTCCACAATAAATGATTTTTTGGCTGTTTTCACACACATTAAGAAATCCACCTTTTAACATTAATTAGCAATGAAATTGATCATATTAACCTTTGCTATCTCCACATAAACACTCCTAGCACATACTAGAACACTATTTACTCCAAGGATAATGTAGGAAAAAAATAATTAATTCATTCTTGAAATCTGAAAAAATCACTTATTTTGGACCACAAAAAAAATACCAAAATATCAGTTATTGCGGACCGGAGGAAGTAAAATATACAGTATGTGCGTTGTGTGTGTACCTAGTGTCCTAATCTCAATATGTAAATATACTTACTAAAAGTTATATTCGAGTATAAAATAGAAAGTTTAACTTTTTGAAATTGATGAATATTGATCCTATATATAGCTAACTCAATAAAGGAAGAAAATGTACCCTATAAAATTCCCCAGTCATCATTCAATATGTTCAAATTAAACTAAGTTCAAGTTCTATATATTCAACTTTTCAAGTTTACCAAGAATACATAGTTTTTGAATATCTAAGAGCTTTTCTAAAATAACTGAAAAGCTATTTTCAAGTTCATTTAGACAAAGACAATCTTTTTTCTTTCTTGCAAGCAAAATACATGTTTTATATTTCTTTAATCAATAAAATATATATCAACTATTATAAAAGCATACTTAAAAATAAATTTCAGATAGGACAAAATTGACGTTTAATTATTTTTTCTAATATTTATATCATTGAAAACAATTATAATATTATGATAAAGTATTAACTTAATTTTCCATTTTTATTGATTACTACATAACAAATCATAATATACATGGCTATTAAGACAAAAGCAAAATTCTTAAGATATTCTAATTTCAAATTACTAATGAATTTTTTTTTGTATACGTTAATTTAATTTGTTACTTAAATAAATATTATTGTGACTAAATATTTATTTATCTAGATACATGATTTGGAATACAAAATCTAGAAAACTAAATCTACATCTAAGACTCAAATCTTTCTAGTATTGTTTTGGATCCACATAATTTGAAGAAATTTTAGATCTAATCACACGTGGAAATATTGATAACACACATAGACCTAATGAAATTTTATAACTAATTGATTGAGCATTTGCTCACAAGGCTCATGACCTTAAGGTTACGGGTTCAAATCCTATTTCCACATTATCTTGTTTTGTCAGACTATTCTAGGGTTGACTCTTTTAACTACGCTCTCCGTTCCAATTTATGTGAATATATTTCTTTTTTTGTCCGTTCCAATAAGAATGACCCCTTTCTAAATTTGGTAACAATTTAGCTTAAATATACAATTCTCCCTTAATGAGAAGCTTTTATAATCACACAAATACTTTAGGTCCCTTTTTGACTTGTTTCGATGCTGAGAAAGGGGCGAAGCCACCTTTTACAAAGGGTGGTCAACTGACCCCTTCACCGTAATATTACGAAAAATTTACACTGTGTAAATAAGTAAAATACTGATTTTAGATGTATAAAATATATATTGAACTCCCTTTGTCGAGAATATTTTTTAGTTTTTTCAAGTTTGAACACTCTTGGAAACATGATGGGATCAACACTTCTTAAAGTTAGTTGCATATATTCCCTCTCCTCCCCTAACTTTCTTCCTTTTTACTTTTCTTTGTCAAACTAAACGAGGATATAGTATAGCGTATTAAGTATTTCCTATTATACTTTCTTCCCTAAGTTTTAGATACAAAAGGTTTGGGAAGATTATGAAACCTATTAATTCAATAAAACCTATTCCCAAACGAATGAGGAATTCAAGTGATTACGTGCAAAAGAAGTAAAGTGATCAATTTCCCAACTGAATTAGGGAAATATATGAGGGGCGATCTCTATTTATGGTTCATTGTCCCTCGAACTTATTATAGGTTGTTTTCTGCCGCTGTTCGTTGCAAGAAACCATGAGCAACTCTCATACTCATCCTTCTTCCCAACTAGCCCATAATGAGGCACGCCATTCTTCTCCAAATTATAATGGAAATAATCACAGATCAGTTCGTCATCACCAGACAAATTATGTTCCATCTTCTCCTCCTCATTCAAGTTATGACACAATATCTACTGGTGAGTATTCGAATAGAATTAACATAACTAATTTGAGCAATCGTAATTCAGTGAATAGGGTCTTAAGGCCAGGTGTAGTAGACAATCTGCATGGCCGATCCTCGCAAAATAGGAGCAATCCGACAATTTATGCTCAGTTATTACGTGAAGTAATTCATGACCATATAGATGTCACTGATCCCTTTGAGTTGCTTCGGTTAATGCTTGAACGTCATGATTCACTTCACCTTACTGGCGTTCGTGAGGAGAAAGAGAAGGATGTTTTATTTAGGTATTTGAAAACAAGAACTCATCATGTTCCTACGCCTAAAGATGAAGTTAATAGTCCCACGAAAGCTGAAATAGTTGTTGATAAAGAGTTATCAGAGATTTGTGCGATATGTATGGCAGAATATGAACATGAAGAGAAAATTGGAACACTTCAATGTGGACATGAATATCATAGAGATTGCATCAAACATTGGTTGTTGAGGAAGCATAACTGTCCAATGTGCAGAGCTCCAGTTTTTCCTTCACAACAACATAGATTATGGAGAGGCATTTAATTAGCAATCATGTAAATCAATAGCATTTCGAGATTATTTCCTTCAATCTTTTTTTATTTCAATCTGTACTCCTATATTTCGTTTGCTAGACCAATCGAGTACTAGCTTGGTGTGTATAATTTAAAGATCATCTCATTAAACTTGGTAAAACAGGTTATTTTGTTGTGCGTGGCACACACTATCCCTGCTATGTACACACACAAATATATAAGAATATATCTTTCCAGCCCAATTTCGAGCAATATGTTTAAAATAAAATAATATTTATTTCAAGATTTAAAAATTATATATCTATCTATATCCATCTATCTATCTATATCTATATCTATATCTATATCTATCTGTATTATTATAAAAGCACGAATATTAGAAAGTTAAATGTTGAACGACTAAAATATCCTCCAAATATTAACTGACTTTATGCCTTTTTAAAGTTAAATATCTCTTTAAAATAATATTACGCCGATGTACAAAAACGTACAAAAAAGTTTAATCTCAGAATTCAAAATACTTAAAGAGTCTGTTACGTCTAATACACATGGGATTGAACTTAAAAAAGTTGTCTTAGAATTCAAATACCTCAGGAGTCTTCTATGTCAAATAGGCATGTAATTACACTAATTACTGTAGCTTAGAAACATTCAAATTCTAAATTGCCCGACTCTGCATAAGTATGCCGATTTCCTGTTTCGTCAGCTCTTGTATTTCTTCATACGCAGCTGCACGTTTGTCAATTTAATTATCATTGAGAATATACTTTGAGTTATTTTTTCCTATGTGATTTGCTAAAATCTTGGAACTTGATTTAAATGGATGTTCTTGCTAATTTATTGCTTATTCATTATGATGATGGTCATAGTTAAGCCTCAAGGTAACAAGTTGAATCTCTTGTGAGTACAATTCTAACGATTCCTCGTGTTGATGTTCATTCACTTCAACATGTATGTACAAAGATGAGAGAAACACAAACATACACACAATAATGTAGTATACATAATTTATGAGCATATGTCAATTTTCTTTCACAAGAATTTTCACTTTTTAATGATTAGCAAAATATATACGTGCAACGCACGTACATAGAGATTATTAGTATTATATAAAAGCACGAATAATTTATGCTAAATGTTGAAAGACTAAAATATCCCTGAAATATTAATCGACTTTTATACCCTTAAATATCTGTATAATTTAAGGATCTAATTGTAAATTATCAAATGATGGAATTCTTTTCCAATTTAAACTACATATACACAGACCCTACAAAGTTCATTATACTTGGATTACAAAAGCACGTCCATAATTTTCTTTTAAAAAACTTATTGTCCCTAATTACAACAAATACGTAATTTTGTGGGAGATAGATTCCTACTTGGAGTGCTTTCTTTCTTTCTTATTTACATTAGGAATTTTAAGAACTCTTTCTTACCTTTTTATTGTGTCAGGAACTTCATATAAATTTCATTCACTCGTGAAAAATAATTTGTGTTTATTTACCTGTTAGGAATTTTTTTGTAAATAGTAATATTTTTCCTTTGAATAAATATCATGATTCCTTCTTGAATAGGTATTTTTTTTCTTTCACAATAGGATATTTGAAAAGTTATCCGATATCTTTTATTTATTTTGTTATAAACTTACAAAATGTAAAATTCACGTGCTTTTTAACTAGAGATTGGATTAATCAGAATTGGAGTTGAATTTAGAGATTGAATTGATCAAAATTGGAGTTAAATTATTTTCTAGCGGTAATAGTATAATTTTCTTCTGAATATTAGTATAGTTAAGAATTAATAGTTTATTAAATATGACTTTTGTAATAATTGATATAGGATAACGTGCAAGACAAAAAATGCCAACAGAAGTTATGAATGACTAAATGCCTTTTCTATTTTTAGTTTCTTTGCTACTAATGTATTTTGAGTAAATATGATTTTCATGTATCTGGATTGTTAAGACTTAATTAAATCAAAAAAAATTATTGAATCAGAAAAATAATATGAAGTATTGTTGTATTTTTAAGTGATTTTACAACTTTAATTGCCTAATTGTATAATTCTATGATATTTAGTTCTATTTTGTCCTTTCATTGTTCCAAAATATTATTAATTTGTTCATTCGGATTGTATATTATATCTTTTTTGTCACGACCCAATTTCAATTCAGGTCGTGAGGCGCCCAACACCGTTGTCAGGCAAGCCAACGCAGTATTATTAATAAGTTCTAGTTTTATTTTTCCAAAACAGTTAACACAAACTCAATTTTAAATTTAAAACAAAAAATAATTTGCGTCGAACCGAAATAGTTATACAAATCCCAAAAGAATAGTCTACTAATGTGTGTGCCAAGACCCGGTGTCACAAGTACAAGGGCATCTAGTAGAATATTGTAACGACCCGACCGGTCGATTTGAGCCCTAGCGCGCCGTTCAGCAGTTCGAGGCCATGAGCAGCTTCAATTCAGGCATTATGACTTGTACGCGTGGTCGGAATTAAATTTTGGGAAGTTCGAAGTTGACTTGGAGAGGAAATTCTCATTTCGGAAGCTTTAAGTTGAGAGAATTGACTAGGATTAGATTTCAGAGTAAACGACATCGAAATCGGGATCTAAAGGTTCCAGCAGGTTCATATGATGATCTCAAACTTGGGCGTATGCCCGGATCGGGTTTTTGATGACCCGGGAGCGTTTTGGCGCCTATTGTGGAAGTTAGCATTTTGGAGGAAATTTCATAAGTTTGGGTTGAAGTGCATTTCAGTGTTATTGATGTGTGTTTGAGATTCCGAGTCTGGGAGTAGCTCCGTATGGTGATTCTGGAGTTGGAGCGCGATCGGAAGTGAATTCGGATGCCCGTGGGTCATTTTGGGGTCATTTGGCTAAAGATAGAAATTTGAAGGTTTTTGAGAAGTTTGACCGAAGGTGGACTTTTTGATATCGGGGTCGGAATCTGATTCCGAAAGTTGGAGTAGGTCCGTAATGTCGAATATGACTTGTGTGCAAAACTTGAAGTCAATCGGACGTGATTTGATAGGTTTAAACATCGAAAGTAGAAGTTTGAAATTTCGAAGTTCATAAAGCTTGAATCGGGGTGTAAATCATGGTTTTAGCGTTGTTTGAAAGAGGGAATTGTCCCTGATCTTTCCGACCACGCGTACAAGTCACGCGTACAAGTCATAACCAATTATTTCACCTATGGGGACAATTCCCTCTTACAGGGTTAGCGTTGTTTGAATCCGACCACGCGTACAAGTCATAATGCCTCAAATGAAGCTGTTCATGGCCTCCGACTGCTGAACGGAGCGCTAGGACTCAAAACGATCGGTCGGGTCTCCTTTCTAACCTTGTAAGAGGGAATTGTCCCCATAGGTGAAATAATTGATTACGTGCTCCTATTTGCGGGGGCTACGTACGCACGAGGTGACGAGAGTCCGTGCGTAGCTACTATTATGCCATTGCCCGGGTAGTTAGGGCCCAAAAGCATGTTATACTTGGATTATTTATGAACCTATTGACAGCTTGAATTGCTTAAATCACCTTGGATTAGTAAATGAATTTAAAAGGAGATTAAACATCATTTTTCCTGAATTGTTAAAAAAGAGAAATTGTTTTATTTGGATAAATATTCCCGATAAGTTCTTAATTGACTGATTGAGCATGTATCTCTATGTGTACCTGCGTCGCATGCATGATTCGCGAGCAGGGTATGTGTTTATTTATGGAACGGGTCGAACGCCTCGGCAGATTAAATAGATGCATCTATAGGCGCGCCGTCGACCCTCGGCAAGTGCACAGTTTATTTCTGTTGGATCGGGCCGTCGCCTCGGTGTGATTTGCGCATGTTATATTGTTGCCTGAGAATTTTAAATGTGAAATGTGCCCTTCGTGGCTTTATATAAATTGATAAGATAATAAAGAGTAAATCTTGAAAATCCTTGATTATTTGTTGAAGGTGTTTACCTGTTTTCTGGCTTCCTAAGTTAGGACTGCTATATAAATCCATGATTTCCTCACATTTTTAGTATATTGTCAATTGACCTCTAATAAGTGTCGAAGTTGACCATCTCGTCTCTACTTCTTCGAGATTAGACGGGATACTCATTGAGTACACGTTGTTTACGTACTCATACTACACTTCTGTGCATTTTTGTTGCACAGGTATATTTATCTCTAGCAGCCCACTGGGCATAGCAGCACGGATGATTCGGGGACTAGGTGAGTTGCATTATTCGAGGCGGCCCGCAGCTAGTAAAGTCCCTTCCAGCAAATTGTATTTTCTTTCTGTCCACTGTATTCCGGACGGGTGTTGTATTGTATTTTATTTCCTTATCAGTAGATGCTCATGCATTTGTGACATCGGGTTCTGGGATGGTTTTTAAATATTTTTGTATTGATTGCTAGTATTCAATTTGAATTGAAGCAGTTATATTTTTACTTATGAAATTTAAAGGAAAATCTTGGTTTTCAAAATTGTTAAAATTGGAGTTTAATTAAATATTTGGTTGGCTTGCCTGACAGCGGTGTCCGGCGCCATCACGTCCCTTAATGGATTTTGGGTCGTGACAACATGGTATCAGAGCACTAGGTTCCTAGGGTCTCACGAGTCATGAGCAAGTCTAGTAGAGTCTTGCGGATTGGTATGGAGACGTCTGTACTTATCCTCGGGAGGCTGCAGGACTGTTAGGAGTACTTCCCTTCTTGATTCTTTATCGTGCGATTTGATTGCTGTGAGGCTTATGCCTTTGTTTCCTTCCTACTCAACCTTATGTGACGCAAATCGCTTGTTATAAATCGAGAATTGAAGAGTCATGATGGTATTACAGATGTGATACAGGATGTTTCTCCTGGTATAGCTGATCGGATTATTATCGTCGCTTTATGGAAGAATACTTTATTGTTTCAGCTCAGTAACGATACTTCTGAGGGCTTTGAGGCTAGGCACAAGTTGCCATGATGCTTATGAATGACTGTTCCGCAGTAGTGATATGATGGTAGGATGTTGCCCA